ATTTAAATAGGGTGGTGGGGAGGATTGCTGTTTATTTTGTAGGAGGATGAACACAGTATTACTAAAGGGTTGGTTACGATCACCCCTGCTCTCAGCTAGTAAACCAACCAACATTCCCCTAAAAAACATGCACTCATAATCTCATTTTACATATTTCAGATGTCGTTTGTGTTTGTCTTTTTTGTCCCTCTTGTTTGTCCTTTTTATTTCCTTAAAATACAAACACTGTCTGGTGCCATCTTCATTTTTAAGATGCTGTAGAAGACCAGACATATCAGCACCAGATAGGTGAGAAGGTGCTGCTCAGAGGGCTTAGTTAGCACCCAGAGACAGTGAAGAAGTTAGTTTTAAGAAAGCAAGAGCTGGAGCATTGTGGAAGGATTTGAAGTGCGTATAGCTCAAAAAAAATCAGTTTCACCTGATACTTGGATATCGTCACTAATGAAAGGGTTAAACAACATGAAATACTCCTTGCTACAAATGTTTTGAGTGCAGAGAGTTAGGGGGGAATATTTCCTATCCACTTGTATCAGCACATATGAATATTATTTGGGACTTCTAATTAACTGGCCTCGATAAAGCCTTTGAAAATGCTTTGAGAATTAGAAGGTATGGAAATAAGGTATGGTTGTTTATGCTGTGGTGAAAATGTCCTCCTAAGACCTTTTTATTATTATAATTTTTAAGAAGTTAGAAGTTTTAGATTTCTTGTTAGAACCTGGGGTAATTGCTAGATGCTTTCTGTGCTCAAAAAATATACATTAGTAAATGGGGGAGTAGTAAATTGTAAAAGATGTGTTCTACCATTACACAGTGGAAAGTCCATTATATACATGCAGATTATTACTATTTTCACTGTGGTCTTTGGCTGCATACAGTCTTCTAGTTTTTCTCAAACTGGTCTGTGTTTTCCAAGCTCCCTGTTATTTTTAGCTGGTTAGCAGCTTTATTAAATGATTTATTAAATTACTAAAACAGCTGAAATTGGTTTTATTATATAGCATTAATGTTCTGGTACTTTGGTAGAAAGAAAGTAAGGAAATAAAAAATGTAAAGTTTCTTACCAAGCTTCCTTCTGCTTTGCTCTTATGACTACAACCATGTGTTGGATAATTGGTTTTCCTCCTCCACCTGTAGCTGAGCAGTCAGCTTTTCGGAAGGAAGGACTTGCCAGGAAAAAGAAACCTAGAAAACTTCATTAAACTTCTTTATCCCTGAATGTGCGAGAGCTTTTCCTAGCGAATTCTTTCGTGGTGTTGGGGCTGTCTGATCCTCTAAAAGGATGAATCTCTTTTTCTTCCTGTCCCCTGGAGCTCTTCAGCACACTCTGACGCTGAAATCCATGTTGGTGCTGACCTTTCCTTACCACAACTAGGACTGCTCATTTGGAAAGCACAGTTTTCAAATCTTGCATCTTGTTCCCACCTTAATCATAAACTAGCATCTAGTTCAGCAGACTTTAAGTGATATATTCACATGGGGAAAAAAAAAAAAAAACAACATAAGCATTATCTATGTGAAAAATCTTACTAGGGCACATGTCAAGTCTTTGCGGACGGACAAATGTCTGGGGCTTCTTTACGAGTTCTGATGATAAGGGGTAAACAAAACGTCTGCTTCGGGTGTCATCTGGTCCAAAGAGAGTAGTCCAAATGAAATAACAGCATAGGCAGGTCACTAGGCATGGAGTTAGATACCAATCTGTGTGCCGTAATCTGGGCTTGCACGGAGCTGCCAATTGCAATATTTACTTAGCTCCTAAGCTCAGCTTTTTTGTCTGGTGAGGTGGAAAGTGCTTCCTCTCGTGCATTACAGCACACGACTTCCCTTCTCCTCCTGGCCCTGCTCAGATACCGTGGCAAGCGCCTTCATTTTCCAGAGCTAGAGAGCATACTGTGTAGTTTCTAACCCTTTTTAGTGCTTACATCTTTTCTGATTAATTTAAGGAGTCATTAGAATGTTTTCCTGACACTTTTTCTAATTAATTTCTAAACTAATTTCTGCTTTTTTTTCTAAATTAATTTCTTTGCTCTCTTGTCCTCTACCCCATGGTTGCAATGGCGGTCTTGGATGTGGCAGTGTTTCATACAGTTTGTGTCTATCACTTGAAGATGTTTTTTATTCCAAACCTCTCTTTTTGTGAAAGAGACCATTCAGGTCATTAATATGTCCTAATGGGAATGTTACTGTGATATTCCCTGTGCCCTACTCCTCTGGTGCCTGGGAGATACCTGCCAAATGAGCAATGAACTGAAGGCCGAGGGCAAATTCTTGGTGAGGGAATTCAGGGTCACACTCAAGATCTTCAAACATTGCAGTCAACAGGTAAATTAAATCTGTGAAGCTTTTGTCTTCTACAACTTCTTGCTGGAAGCTGGTGCCAGAAAATCTGCAGGTTGAGTAGAAAAGTCTTAGTTTGCAGGAGACATCGTTGGCTTTGGACTGTCAGGTGTGTGGAAGAGTGAGACAGAAACTGGTGGCTTTGTTGTGTTTTCATTGATTTACTTCCTCTGGTTTAGAAAAACAATGATGCTGAGATGACAAGACTTTCTTTTCCCTCAGTTTATGTAATGTTTCTATCCATCCTGTAGACTTTCTTTGTCACAATAACATTGGCTTTGATTTATTGACAGTAGTTTGTCATGTTCCTCTGCGTCAAAGCTTTTTATCAACAGTTTGAGTCTTAGCACTGTTGCAAAACAACAACTGGAAGACTAATGGCAGCTGAAACAGAATTTCTATTGAGACCTAGTCCATCACTAATGCAGCAGAGGTTGGGTAAATGCAGTGGTTATCACGTGTCAGGATGTTATGCGAACTGAGGATTGAATATGAAGATCTAGTAAGATTTTCTAATCTTAGGGTTTTTTTCTTGTTAGTTTGACAAATGCTTTTCACAGCTGATATTGGAGTCATTAAGCTGTTAACGTTGGCCTGTATTTGCATTTTCCCAACCTATAGGTCATTTGGATCCAGGATTCCTTGCGAATGACAAAACCTCTTCTGGTAATGCCCAGGTCAATGAAGAAATTAACATCGCCTCCTCTGATAGCGAAGTAGAGATTGTTGGAGTTCAGGAGCATGCTAGGTATGATTTTTTTTTCTCTTCCTTTTTCAGTTGAAATATTTTTAAAATTTTATTAGAATATGCATATTGTCAAAATTAACAATGAAAAAATTTGCTGGCTTTGAGTTCTGTTTTTATCCCTCCGTGCCTGATGTGCAAAGGTAGCAAATGTTGCACTTTTCCTATTCTGCTGGTCATGGTAATGTCAAAAGGTGTTCTTCTTTAGAATTTTTATCATCTGGATATGTATTTAGATTCAGCTTGTGAATTAATATCCAGCAATAAAAGGCTAGACATATATAAATTTGGTATCTCATTTCAATATTATATACATAAACACATAAAACATTTACACTGGTTCTTGTTTTCTTTCAAGATATTTACTTTAAGCATTTAAATGCTTTCCAATGTAATTAATTAATCAGTTGCCATAGGATTAAAAATACTGTAAATTTTGTAGCAGCTAACATAGTAAGGTAGCACCGTTAGTCCAGGAATACATCTTTATGAATCTTAGTTTTATCTCAAGATACAAGATCGTTCAAACCTCCAAACTAGGTCAGGAAGGTTTGGACTTGATGACCTCTACAGGTCCTTTCCAACCTTAAGCATTCCATGATTCTATGATAAGGAGGAAGAGGTAGATGACGAAGAGGAGGCAGATAAGGAAGCTAGAGGTTCTCATCCGATAGCTGGCCAGATCTGCAGCTCTTGTTCTAGCTAGGCTTGCTTTGATGTCTCTTCATCGTTAGTCTATGGTCTTTCTTCGGTTTGAGGTGTGCTGAAGCAGCTGAACAGGACTGGCATTTTCCTCTAGTGTGGAGAGTTAAATTGGTAAAGCTGTGGTTGAGGACACACAAACACAGTGTATAAAACTAGTCTGCTGCGTGATGGATGTCTGGAAGAAGTAAAGGAGCGTGAGGGGCAAGGAACAGAGCTTCCTCTCACTGTTCCTTCACCATGTCTACCTTAAGAAAGGGAAAAAGGTGTGTAGGACTTAAGTCCAGGCCTTCTGATTGTGGGGGGGAAAAAAAAGAGATTTTAAAGGTCTAGATGGAGAGAGACTTGGCCTTAACTTCTAGAAAACTGAAAGTCATTCCATGACTAACCCTTTTGGAAGATATTAGCTCCCTGGGGACGAGCCCTCCTGTCTATTTATCCAGCAGTCCCCGTGTTTAAGCAATCTTTGTCCTCATGATAATCTGTTGACTTGTCCTTCGTTCCTAGTTTGTGTGTGTCCATCCCTAAACACACACATCCCTTCTGCTTGAGGTCCCCCTTACAAAACGCTTTCCACGCCGATTGCCTCGATAATATTTGATGTGTGCAACAATGGGAATGTTAAATAAGTGTACAGTTGCTATTTTCAATTAGTTTTGGTTGATATGGACCTATTTGTGTGGAAATAAGAATTTGTGCTGTTCTGCAGAGAAGACAAACGTATAAGGCACGATTTCTGCAGCACCCTTTCCTTGTGCTCACGTTTGCTCATGTAACCGCTCTGCCCTCTATCAAAGACCAGTTCTTGCTGGCACCGATGGATATTTGCACATTTTGGTTGCTTGAATCCCATTTAGAATTCTATTTCTCTTGCAGGTCTAGGCTTGCAGTTATGAAGTATTGATGGGCTTCTGACAGGGTTGTCGTTTGGACAAGGTTTAGGTTTTTGATCAGTATTTTTGCATGCTTAGTTAGTACGATGTTTCGATTCAGTTTTTTTTGCTTATACTATTTTATTTTATTTTTTTTACCATGTTCCATATTTCATTTTATTGTCAGATTGGTGTGAGTCGTGAAGCTCTTGAGTTTGTCCATGATTTGTAGTTTTTCCAGATTGCTAGTGAAGTGGTGATGTTTCTCATCATTGGAATATTACTTGGCATTTACTTAGGATACCAAATCATATTTTGCACTTTAATTTTTGTCCTTTAGACTTTTTATCATGCATGTGTACAGAACAGTGCTCTTTTTGCTCCCATTTTTAATTCTTTTTTTTCTTTTGTTTTATTGCCTTTACTTGATATCTTTCCCTTAGTTACAGGTTGGAAAGCATGTTCCTTAAGCTAAAGTTTGATTGAACGTTTTGCTCTCGGCTGCTTGTATGACTTGTTTGTGGATATACACTTTTATTTTTGCAAGATATCGTCAAAGAGGAAATTTATAGACTACTACTTGTCATCTTCAGGACAAAAAGTTAATAGTAGTTTTGCACAAACATTGAGATGACTGTTTTGTATCAGAATAATGGACCATATATAACATGTTGTACATAGTTTGGTTACAATCTTTTTCTCATCAGTTATGCTTACAGGTATTTCTTCTTAAAAGAAAGTTTTTTTAAAAAAAAACTAAAAAGTCACAATTGGTGGTCTTATTATGCCTTTTGTGTAGCTATGTGTTTTAAATGCATATTTTAAGACTGAGAGAGTAATAGGAAAATCATTCTGAAGATCACATCCAAAATGAAATAGCATATCTGAGAAGGAAATGTGATATTCATATCCCGACGCGTTAGAGCTGGGAGAATGAGATTTTTCATTCCGTTTCATGAAAACATCTCCAACCTGAGAAAAGAAGAATATAACTTCTGGAGCGCTGAGTGCAAAGTTTTACTAGCATTTATTTAAGATTTCCAGTTGTGGCATGGCAGTCTTAAAGACTCTACTAAATTCATCAGTTCATCATATAGCAAAATTAATCCTTCTTTTTTCTAATTACTGTTATTTTGTGCTCACTTGTCACCTTTTTAGTGTAACGAGCAAAAACAGTGTGCAAATAAGTAGATGTGCACCTCCGTTCAGCAAGGCTTACGGCTTAAATCCAGTGTGTGCTTATCTCTAAATGCCTAATTTAGTCTCATTGACTATAATTACCGAAAGCTTAAATGTACTGCTGAAGTGGGGCTGTACTGATATACAAGGAGCTTTTCCCAATATGTTTGTAATTTTTGAGTTAAGATAACCAAGGAAAAAACAAGTGTATTAGCTGTAGCAATGTAGGTACAGGATGGCTCTTGTAATTGCTGTACTGAAAGTATCCTTCTGTCCTTATCTGAGCGTGGCTTTGATTCCATGCAACAAGAGATATTTTCTCTTTATCTCATCAAGATTTTGTCACTTTATTTATTTATTTATTTTTCTTGAAGTGCAGGGGGTAAAATTACTAGGAGGAAACCTTCTGAGCAGTGCATGGCACTGCACGATGGGCTGACTTCTTCAAGACCCTTGGGAGCCACATGCACATTTCACAAGCAACATTACACCCACTGGCAAAAATTAAATTCTTATAGGAAACATGAGCAAACAGCATAAACTTAAGTTTAGGCTCAGCATTCTTCCTGGTGAACTTGCAGATCACTAGTTAATTTAAAGTATCATCAACTGTACACATGGAAAAGCTCCGAGGAAACTTTGGAGAGGAACATTTTATAAGATACAAGAGTGATTTAATGAAAAAGAAAGTTGTTTTTAAAAGAAGCGAAGGCTGAAGTGACCAGTGGCTTTAACCCTTTTTGCTTTTTGCCTTGCTGCAGGTGTGTGCACCCCAGGGGAGGCGTGATCCAGAGTGTGTCTTCCTGGAAACACGGCTCAGGCTCGCAGTGCATTAGCGCTCCGCAAACGCAGTCATGGACAGCGGTGGCTCCCCAGCAGAATTGGTCTTCGCCCTCAGAAGTAGTAGACCTCACTCTGGATGAGGATTCCAGGCGCAAATACCTACTGTAACGCAGCGTCACTGTGCGTGTCTCCCTTTTGTGGCACTGAAGTTCATTGCTGTAGCTTCAGCTTCCAAAGCCCTGATCCTGGCGCTGCGCAAGTCCAACTCATGAGGATTTTCATTTCCATAAAAACGTAGTGTGATTTTAATATCGTTCAAAACATTTCTATTTTTTTTAACCTTCTCGAAGGAGGATTCTTTCCATAACTAAGACCCAATAGTTCCAAATTTAAAACACATCTACAGCTACTGATTTTGTGTGTGTTCATCTGAAGAAGCAATCGCATATGAAGTTCTGCTCTTCCACCCTTTCCCATCTCCAACTTTAGAACATCTTTAATTTAGCAGTATATCAGGTTTGTTTGTAGCAGTTAGTGTTTTGCTGTGTGCACATCAGTGATTTCGAGAAATGCTGTGTCCTCACTGATTTCAACTGATTTCAGTGGAGCTGGGGGTATCCAACACTTCCGAAAATGGGGCCGAGAGTTTTTTCCCCCAAAGCTGATGTGGTTACGTTACCAGCCGTAGGGACTATCTGTAATATGAAAGGCCCTTAACATATGCACTGAACAGCTTTTAATTAAAAGATTTTTATTTTCAATGTAATTTATAGTTTACACTCTTTTTAGTGCTGAGTCTTCTGTCTACTTGACTGCTGTTGTTTCATTGATGATTTTCCACTGCTTGTTATGGTTTTACAATAGTGACTTACTAGCAGCCGATAATTGCAAAAGCACAAGAAAAAAAGACATGTAGTACAAAGGCCCACCAACCCTCTCCCATCTTAAATACAGCTGAATTTTACATATATCTGAATCTTGCCTGGCTTCCAGGAAGGAGGGAAATGAACCACATTTCTCACAGTCCTCATTTCTACTGTTCGCTTATTTGCCTGACTGCCCATCTCAAAAAAACAACAACGAAAAAAAGTTAAGAAAAAACTTGTAAAGTCTCAAAAAACTTGTAAAGCCCCTAGTCTGGCAAAGCACTTCAGCAGATGTGTAGCGTTAAGCACTGGTAAGTCACTGAACTAGTGGGGCTATTCAAATGCTTAAAACTCTGCCCTAAAGGATGTTGCCTGTCATCTTTTTTCTTTTTTTTTTTTTTAAATTAGGTTTGCACTGTTTTTCTGGCTTCAGGTCATGTCTGTTATCCTAGTTTGGGAATTACTATCTACGTTATGATCCAGGAAACACTTTCTACCAGAATATTTATCACACAGAAATCAGTGACCACTAACCTGAGTGGCCACAAATTTCTGTAGCGTATATTGGATTTCCTGGCCCTCAATCTGTCATTTAGAGGCAAAAACCAAAGACAAAAAACAATATGATGTTCACTTTAAATATCTGTCGTGCAATTAAAATATTCCTTTGTATTTAGATGTTTTTAATGGGAATTATACAGCTCTGTGAACAGATTTTTGCCATTTAAGGCTGAACAGGGAGCAGTCCGGACGTGAGAAGTCTTTTGCATTCGTTTTGGCTGGTTACTAAATTTATTTGCTTTCTATTTTTTTTTTCTGTGTGGGCAAAAAATAAATAAATAAAATAATAATTTTAGCACATACCTTGGGAAAAAACAGCCCCGTAACTATATCGATGCAGTTGGTAGCAAACAGAGCGGGTTATGCCTGCACTTCAAAGACCAATTAGCTAAGGGTTTTCTGTTCCAGTTCTAGAGCTTTCTGCAAACATCCACCTGTGATAAGTGTGTTTATTGCATGACCAGAAAACGCTCGTGGTGCTTCTAGTGACCCAGTTCTTCCTTTTTGGGGGTGGGAGGGAGTGGAGCGAGCGGATTCCCGGCCTCCGTCGTGGCTGTCGCTCCTTCCTCCTCGTTGCTCCTCGTGCATCTCGGCCGTCACCGCGCGCCCGCGCGGGACTTTGGAACAGTCACTGAGCGCGGCTGCTTTTTACAGTTTCACGAAGGCTCTTGGGAAGGTCAGTTCTGGAGAAAACTGCAGGGACCCATTTGCAGTCCTTCCATTTGAAATGCAGACTAACTTCCTGATTTTTGTTTTTCTTTCCAGTCTGTATATGATGTGACTTCCATGTGTGTATATATATATATATATAAAAAAAAAAAAAAGCGCGTCCTAACCAAACTTCCTCCAATTGTGCACTGTGTTTGTTTAAACAATTCACGTATTGTAGTCTGGTGCAGGTTTTCTTTTATTTAAAACACTACATATTTTCTTTTATCCTTAACAAATTTTGAAAGGGTGGAGGTCTGAAAACCACAATCACTGGATAGCTAAGAAATATTTCTGTGTTTTTGTTTTACTATTTTTTTCCATTTGTTTGTTGGGATTTTTTTAAATTATTATTATTTTAAAGAGAGCAAAAGGTGCCTGGACAGTTTTGCTCTTTTTTAAAAACAGAGTGTTATATATATATATATATATAAAATATATATATTTTTGGTGCAAGATGAGACCTTCTGTTTTTTTGAAACAAGTCTGTAGCATAAAGGTTAAACTATTTTAAGACAAAATAAAATAGAGTGTATTATTTAAACAATATCATCTTGTTTGCGATTTTTTTTCCCTTTTCCTCTGATAATGCTGCTCTTTTTCTTGTCTCTGAAATAAACCTTTTAAGATTGGGTTCCAAATTCAGCGTTATTCCCTTCTGAAATGTGTTTGTTTTGAAAGTCTGGAATGTAAAGGTGATAACAAAAGTTTGCTTTTGCCTCCCAGATCAGGGCAAAAACGACACATTGGATTCTCATGCTGCTAGGGAGTACCAGTACCAGCTTGTCCTATGGAGAAGGGAATTTTCATTGAATGAGAAGGCCTTCAGTGGTATGAAAAAGGAGAGACATTTATCCATTTATCTTAAATACAAAGATGGAAAATGCAAGGAAAGTTGGTTGACTCCTCAGCTCCATTGAGTTCTTGGCTTTTGTGCATCTTGAAAATGGGAAGTAGGGGCCTGGGTGTTGTTTAGGACGCTCACACAGGACTTGGAAATTCACTTCATGTCTATCACCAGCTGAGAGAACAGCTGGTTGGTGCAGATGTAGAAAGGTGAGAGCTGATACATCCCCTAAATCTCTTTTCTCCACCACCTAGAGGTAGTCTGAGAGTTTGGGCTTCAACATACACAGTGTCAAATGCTTTGAAAATTCCTTCTTAGTCCCTCAGCGCATCCTTCGTGCTCGGACTATTCTGCTTTATGGTGCCACTTGGCTTTGTGGGAACCATCACTTCTGGGGTAGTACGAGAACTGACAAAAGCTTGCCAAGCAGCTTTGGTTTAAGTTGCTTTTCTCGGTGAAATCGTTGAAAAGCAGATTAATTCTTGGCTGAAAATACAGTTTGTCTGTCTTGAAATGGGAAATGAAAGGGTTTTGCTAAGTGGATTATTGACCAGTTCCCTGGAGGATCTGTAAATTCAGCATCTTTTGAGTGCACCACTTCCACTTTCTGCAGTATTACTTCTTTTTCCTCTTACTTTTCAGGCCTGCAGTTTGTGAATGTGAACTTGCTGAAGCTTCCTCTCCAGGGCATCACCAGACTGGGTTGAAATTTCTCCTCTCTCTGCAAAGGAGCAGAGAGGAAAATGCCAACTTGGAATGGAGAATTCCTGCCTCTAATTTGATCCTTGGGGAAAGTAAGGTGAGCCTTCTCTTCAGGGAAGGGGCTTTCCACTTCCATGAGGGTTGTAGTCACTCCTCTCTCTATCCATTCATGCTCAGAATTCATTTTTAATGGCTGCAGATGGTGAAAAGTGAAAGCAGAACTACTAGTCTCACCAGCACCTCCCATGTTGGCTTTCCTATAGGTTGTCTCTAAAAAAACCCTTCATCAGCGCTGAGGATTGCGCTTGCCCTGGCCATGGCTTCCTATTGCTGACAGCTTATATAGCCCCATAAGGGCCTCTAAACCTTTGCTGGCGTCTCTCCTGCCAGGTCACCACATGCACCTTCACCTGGATGTTCTCAAACTCCAGGTCGTATCCATCACTCCAGTTACTCCATGCTCACTCAGCGCTGACAGGGCTGCATGAGTCTGGGCGATCGGTGATTTTTAGTAGAAAACACCAACTTCATATGCCGAGGTCACTCATGAAAACATCCGAATTGCTTAGTTTGAAGGCTGATCTCCCTATGGGACTCCATCATGCAGCACAGCCCTCCAGACCCCAGCTGCAGCTCTGGGCATGCGGGACATTTTTACCCTCAGTGTGCCGCTCTGGTAGTGCTACCACCATCCCAAAACCCAGGAGGACCCTTGCTGCTGGGGTGGCAGTGCTGGGGGTAGGACATGGCATGACAAAAACCAAACTCCCCTCTCAGGAGCGGCACCGGTCGCAGGCGGGGGAGTCGCTGCGGAAAGGGCGCTGCGAGGAGGCCTCACAGCGACGCAGCCGCGCGAGGCCTCATGGGCAGATCTGCCCGTGGGAGGTTCTGCTGGACATGGGCACTTGGCTCTTGACCCACCACAGGGGACTCTGATGGCCCTGTGGGCGATCCCGAGGGGCCCTTCATTGGTCGGTGGCTCCAGCAGCCGGGTGCTGGGAGCGCAGTGGGGAGCACCATGTGCCCTCGCCATGTCTTGATGTGAAGCTGCTCAAGTGATTGGGTGTTATTAGGCTGTGATTAGTAAGCAGATGCCTGCCCTTAAATAATCAAAGGTGATGTGTCTTCTTCCTACGATACGTCCATCTGTGAGCGAGTCAAAGCCCTGGCAAGGTGCTCCCTCGCGGAGCGAGAGCTCGCCATTACGTGGTGTTGACAGCATGGCCGTGGCCAGGCCGGCGAAGCAGCGTTCTTGTACCATCGCCACCGTGCTATGTTGTTGCACTGTTGTGTATATATTGAGTTATGCTGTGTTATGTTGCCTTGGAGGTGCCGCAGCGCCGCGTTTGAAAGCAACGCTTCAGTAAGTATGCAGGTAAGCGGGCGCCTTCACCACCTTGGGCCTTGAGCTGACACACCTGGGACGTGATAAATGACAAGGAACAGCATGCTGCCCCACCAATGCCGCAGGGAGTCACAAACAC